GGGCAGGCATGTGTAGCTTCCTCCTGGCATCGCCTCCTGGAAGTCACACCCAAGGCTGATTCCTGTCTCTGGAACAAGATGGAACCGCCTCCTTCCTGTGCAGAGAAGCTTGCATGAGATGATGACCCCCAAGCCTTCACCTAGCCTGGATCGCCCGCCGTAAACTTCAGGCAATTCTAGAGGAGAAAGGTGGTGTTGGTGAAAATGCGAACTGTAATGACAGCAGCCTTCTTCTAGCCCAGAGTGACCTGGCTTGGACAGGTGAGCGCTGCAGAACCAGAGGCAGAGTGCGCTCTCACCCGCGCTCTCGCTCTCTCCCCCTTCCCCTCCCCCTCCCCACCCCTCCTCTCCTCTGCTCTTCCCCTCCTCCCTCTCCTCGTCCACCCTTCCTGCTCCCTCTCAATCTTTCCCTTGCTTTTCCTTTAAGCCTGTTTTTTCTCTTCCTGCAGGGAGGTTTTCTCAAGCTGTTTCCATTCATCTCTACAGTGCCTCACACATCTTCAACTCTCCCCAAAGACCTTATTTTATTCCTACAAGCACACCTTTTGCTAACTCCCCCCTGCTTTCTTTACAAAACAGCTTTTTGTCTAACAGTGACATGTCTAAAAATAATAAGGGGGGTGGCTGAACGGTGGGGAGTGAGGGCTTGATACACGCACTGGATTTGCTTCTGGAGACGCGCCCCTTGCCAGATACCTCAACAAGTGGGAGGCAGAGAGACACCTATCAAGCTCAGCAAACACCTGTAGTCCAATTACAGTCAACAGTTTACAGGTGTTGGGAGAAACAGTCACTCTTAGCCACCCTTCCCAGTGCCTTTTCTTAATCTCTTAGAAACAAAAGCACACTTCTCTCTAGGGCCCTTTATCTGGGTGCTGCCATCCCAGCCCGTCCTCTGGCTGCTGAGTCTTTGCACTCTGCAGAGCAGTGACAGGCCAGAGTGTCCCTCACCAGCGCCTGCGCCAGTGGCTCCCCCACCTGGTTCCTGCAGGACTCAGCCTGTGCTCCACGGAGGCCCAAGTTCAGCAGGTCCTGGGGCTGAGCCCAGCGAGCAGCATTTTTGAGGCTCCCAGGTGCTTCATTCGCCTAGGAAGAAGCGCCTGTTTCTCAAATGCCAAGGGTGCACGGGGTCCACTGGGGAGGTGTTGAATGTCTCATCCCAGGTCCAGTTCCCCTGCTGAGCTCCAGTCTCGGGGGGAGCTGCGGATCTGCATTTTTCATGAGCTGGTCTACTCCTTTGTGCAGACGGACGGCACAGCATGGCATGGTGTGGCAGAGAAGGCTAGCTAACACACAGGTGCCCGGATGGGGTGGTGGTGTCGGGGACAAGGTTCCACTCTTCAGTATGCTCCTGCAGTCTCGGGCTTTGCTGGCCCTGGGGCTGCATTGTAAGTGGCAGCCTGTGGCCTGTCCTCAGAGAAGCACTGCTCCGTATTTGCTATCAGATCGGATTTCCCCTCGATGTGCCTTCACCAGTTCGTGCAGAGGAAGTCTGACAAACCAATGCTCTCTGCTGGACTCGCCTGGGTTACTGCAACGCTTCCAACACTATTCCTGAGAGCGCGAGCTGAGCTGCGCTCCATGTTAGCTGCTGCTAAGCAGCTCGCAGCGAGCAAATAGTCCGGGGAACACCGCCCACCCCGGGATTTGGGGGACTGTGTTAGAATGCTGGTGCGCAGCTCCCCCTGTGTCTGACTATATAATGGGGACGTTAATAAACCCACCCCATGGAGGTAGGAGGAGTCCAAGTTAATTTACACAGAGCTCCTGCAGCCAGGCCTGGCACGTAATTAGTGCCTAGTAAAGGCTGGTTACTGTCAGGATGTACTCTCCCTGGAAATCACAGTGCTTTTAGTAGGGCTGGGACTCTCAGATTGCTGGCTGTAGGCAGCCAGAAAATGCACTGAGCCTGGGGTGGGAACATGCACCCAGCTGCTCTGCAAGCACATTTTTTTTGCCCCAAACAGGCAAGTTCTTCAGCCCAGAGCAGTCCCCTGGAGCACAGAGCCAAGGCTGGGAGTGCAAAAGGCCTCCGCCTCACACCCAGGCCTCCCGAGGACAAGGGTGTGGTGCTAGCGTGGATCGGCAGGCTTACCAGCCTCCCCTCTCACTGCACAGGGACAGACAGCTGGAGAGGCCTGCAGGATGACTGGCACCTTTCAGAAGCGCAGCTCAAGCTGAGAAGCCGAGTCCTCCAGTGCAGCCTTTGCATGGGTTTGTTCATGACCACACAGCCTGCCAGGGACCTCTGCGCAGGCCTGGCACATTCCACCTGGTAACCTCCAACAGGCAGGGAATGGGGCAAGGTGGGCCAGGGCTGGCAAGCTGGGACAGATTTGGTGTCTCTTGTCAGTTCCACAAGCACAGGGGGAGAAATCAAACCTAGCCTCCTGTCCTGGGATAAAGCGCTCATTCTGCACACCTGTGGTTATTTAAAATCTGATTTCCTTAAGTGTAACTCCCATGAGAGCCTGTGGGCAGCCCTCCCCCAGGCCCAGGCCGGGCAGTTGAGGGCAGGGCTTTCTGGCTTGGCCAGCCCTGCTCTCCTGCCCGTGCTGACCCTGACCTGGAGTCTGGAGGACTCACGCTCCTCTCTCCTCCCATTTCTTACACCAGAACGGAGGTGTTCTGGACACGGAGCCCCTGCAAACCAAGACAAAGACGACCTGAGCTATCCAAGCAAAGGAACCGAGTCTCTTTAAGCGTCGAGCTAAAGGAATGGTGCATAACCTTTATTCACTTTCCACGTGCACAAGGTTTCACTTGATGGTCCCTTGAGAAAGTGCGGCACAGCTTGGAAACGTCCCAAGCAGAGCAAAGAGGCCAGCCCGGCCTGCCGGAGCCCACGTTCCTGACAGCCCTCCTGTTTCGGGATTTCTTCTTTCCTGGCCTCTCTGCCTAACAGTGCATTCCGAAGCACAAACTGGAGTGAGTCTCATCCTGATTCTTAGGGCCCACAGGGAACAGGGTCCTGGAGCTGGAGGGTTGGGGAGCCCGGCAGGTGGCAGCTCTGGCTTGGTCCCCTCCTCCCCTGTCATCTGCTGGTCTCTCACGGTGGTGTTGGTGGCCAACGCTCAACTCCGAGCTGCCTCAGGGGGTTTATGGGCACTGGTTAGGCCTTAGGTGGGACATTTGGTAAGAAGACACATGGAACACCAGGACAAAATGAAGCCCCCGCCCCTGTTAGGGCTCTGGAGGGAAGTTGGCCTGCTGCCATGGGGCGCTCCATCCAGAAGGGATGTGGGGCTTAGGGACAGAGACCCCAGATTCTTCTTACATTTCCATACCCTCCTCTCCTTTGGCCTCTGCAAACGAAGGGACCTTGGCTCTGCACCCCAACTGGCTCCAGGCGTCCTGCGGGGCCAGGGCCAGCGTGAAGCCGGGCCGGGAGGCAGCAAGCTCTGCGCCGCGCTGGGGGCGCGGGCGCGGGCGCGAGCGCGGGCG